TTTTCCGTGACCCCTCATCAAAACAACTGCGCCCAGTTGTGCCAGGATGTTTGATCGACACTGTATTGTCTGACCTTCACAGAGAATTGGGGCATTGCGGCCAACGACGCACCGAACTGGCAGCACTTACACGATTTTGGTGGCCCCAACTCCGTTCCTCTGTCCTCCATTTTTGCCAATCCCGCACCACTTGCACACTGTTCAAGTCACTAGACCCCTTTCCGTGTGCTCCCATGCAACCCATGATCAGGGGTTTGCCAGGCGAGCGCGTCGGTTTAGGCATTTTTGGTCCCCTACCGATATCAGTCCGTGGATATGAGTATATCCTGGTTATGGTAGATTACTTTACAAAATGGGTCGAAGCAGTACCCTTACTCCGCCAAGACGCCGCATCTGTCCCAAACCCTATTAACCGGACGTGGGTTTGTCGTTGGGGAGCACCCAGATTCTTCCACTCCGACTGCGGTAGCAATTTTGACTCCCAGCTTTTCCGTGAAGTGTGCAGGCTCATAAACACACATAAAACACGCACGACACCATACCACCCCGCAGGTAATGGCCTTGTCGAGCGCACCAACCGCCCCATTCGCAATCTCTTTCTCGCATTTACGAAAGACAGCCATGAGCATGACTGGGCCGTCCAACTCCCATTCTGCCTCTTAGCCTATAGGAGCGCAGTCCACTCGTCCACTGGATTCACACCCCATTACCTCTGGACCGGTCAAGAGATATGCCTCCCCGCAGATCTTCAATACCCCCTACATACCCCTGACCCCACGACCATATCGACCTACGCCTCTCATCTTCGTGAAGCGATACGTACCGCATACAACTCAGCACGCGAACCAATCGGTGCGTCATCTTCACATCAAAAAACACAAAATGACCGCCATTCGACTGGCGCTACACATCAAGTGGGCGATTTAGTCATGCACTACAACCCCGTACCACGCGGAATTTCAGCCAATCTCCACAACCCCTGGCAAGGTCCGTTGGTTATTCTCGATGTTTTGTCACCCTCAAACTACCTCCTCCGCGATGCCTCGCAACCCCACTCCCCCACCTCTACAGCTAACTTCAACACACTCAAACCCTACCGCGGTCGTTTACCCCTTTGCACATTAGACTCCCTACCCATCCTTCCAGACGACCAAGTTCCCCTCGTAGCCATCGAGGTCACAGTTCCCTCAACCGTCGAGACCACTATTCCTTCACCCGTGGACCATAGCAGCACTGAGGACAGTGCTGCATCCTAAGAGGGGGGCTATGTAACAGCCCAAATAGAGCACAGGGGTCTGACCTTGTTTTAATAATCAAGTGAATACTCATCTTTTAGAGAACCCCGGACCAAGCTCACCACATGGGCACGATCAAAGCCGCTGATCTGTGTACCCGATAAGTCCTACCCTTGTTTGTTACATGTTTTTGTTTCGTTGATCATTGTTACATTTTGTTTTGCACCCTTTGTCTTCTTCCGGGTCAACCCTTTACCCTGATGCATGTACATATTTCCTTAATGTCATCTACCTTGTTGATTCCTATGTTCAATTCGTTATTCATTTTCTACTGACGTTACACACGTTTATAAACTCTGTTACAATAAACTTTATCTTCGGCACCTACCTACACTCTTTCCACCTCCTAACGCCCAACTCTGATGTGCTTGAGTCTTCCTGTGAAGAATTTTGGACGTTCCATGTTCAGATCCTCAAGTTAATCCTCAGGTCGTAAAGAAGAGGAGGCTATCCCCATCCAATATCGCTTCGTCCCCTATTGATCCATTTGGAACGGACGCTACAAATGTTCGCAACTCAACGAGAGTCGTAGGAACCATTGCAGCTCGCGCGAAAATGTTCGACCAATCGCTTGGTAGCCGTCGGAAACATTCCGCAAATTGCTGCCGTTGGTCACATCGATGGCTCTCCAGTCGGTCGTCCGTGCCATCCTCCCACGGCTTCGTGTGGGCTCGGCAAAATTCTCTTCGGCCCAATTTCGATTGATTAGCACTTCTCAAGTTATTTGTTCCGATGGGCCTTCTTTCAAGCACATCCTCAATCACAATGATCTTTCTGACGAAACTAAAAGGCAGATTGAGTTGGAAGTCAGAGACACTCTCAAGGTACGCCTTTATCAGTAATTCCTACTCAAGAGGATTGGCTTCCTTATGGTTGGAATGAAACTGACAAGTATGATGACATATACAAGTATAAAGTCGGGACCTTTATAATGACGGTCATTATCACGTTTGGCTTCGCCTATCAGATGTGGTATAGACCTAGAGGATTGTAAGTTTCCCGTTTTTTTCTCTCTAGCTACTACATGGTACTCTGAAAAATTTTCTCTGCAACGCCAAAATGCTTAAGTCCCGTTTTTAATTTCATGCTTGTACTTGGTATGGCCGTTGTCACTGCCGTATGTAGCCGGCCTTGGTGACGTCGCATATCGCACTCCTCCACTCGTGACAATTTGCGGCAGCGGATCTCGGAAACTCCACGCAATCTCTCCGATAACGGAGATCGAACTCTGAAGGTCCAAGAACCACCTTAGTGTCCTGGTGAATTACTAAGTCAGGGTTATCGTTGGTTTATTGCACTCGTTGACCTGGGCATCGGCGTCGGGTCGATAGAAGTGACATTGAGCTGATGGGACGGACGACGAAAAATGTACCCTTATCACCAAGCCGTCTTCCTCGGATGGCTTGAGATATCCTCGCGATGTTGTCGTGGCGATTGCCGACCGTTTCATTCGAGACAACTTTAGTGTTCTTCGCCCAATGGACTTTTCTCAGACACTGCCCTGAGTTCAGAATCGACGAGGCGGGTGCCCTGTGCACGCAGATATTTTTTTCTGTTGGAAATATCGTGTAGGTCCACAGGCGCTTTCTGAGAATTGTGAAAATATTGCGATCCAGCTCAGCCGTTCGGTATTCGGTCTAGCGTCTGACAAGGCTGTGTCCTGTCTCCCATTCTTTTGGGCTACGCCGTTGACTGGATTTTCGGGAGGGCCCTGCCCGAGAGCGGCGGTATTGGATATGCGCTCGGAACCAGCTAACTGATTTCGACTATGCCGATATTGCATTACTAGCTTCAAGTTTTGGTTCTATGCAGTGTATGGTGTCATGGGTGAATGAAGTCGCGAAATCCTTTGGCCTATCCATAAACACTGAGATAACCAACGTGTTTTCAAGCTGTGCCCATGACCAGAAGAAAACACCTCTCCAGATTGATAACTGTCAACTTGAAGTAGACAGCTGTAAGTACCTCGGGACGAGGCTGTTGCCGAATGGACAGAGTGAGAATGATATTGTCTCCCAAATTGATGCCGCTCGCTAGATTTTCTCGAGCTTTTGAAAATCCGACACGATATCTCCATCACCACCATGATTCGCGTATACCGTGCGTTCGTCTGGTAAGTTCTTTATGATTGTGAATGCTCGGCTGCGCGAGTGGAGGACGAGCGAAAACTGGAGGCATTTGACCGCTGCCCGAGGGCTATCCTTCGAGCAAAGTACACCCACTTCGTATCAAATAAGACAGTCCGCACTCGCTGAGAAAGCATCGCAAGGATAACCCAGGCCATTCAAGAAAGACGGCCAAAGTGGTTTGGGCACGTTCTTCGTCGTCCACCTCAGGAGCTTAGTGCTACTGCCCCGAACCCAGCACCGCTACCCTATTGGAGGCGTCGAAGAGGTGGCCAACTCAAAACCTGGCTCGACACAATTCGTTAGGACATGGGAGTGGTTCGTGGACCTTCAGTACTCGGTTTCCGTCGTTGGCAAAGAGCATTGGTTGAACTGTCCAGATCTGCTGTCGCGGATTGCCACGCGTGGAGAGCCACAGTTCGCGACACCATCGAGGCCGGCTGGATCAGGCATGGCCGCCGCCGTACCAAGTACAAGTACAAATATCGGCAGGCCACAGCAAAGAAATTTTTCAACCAATTAATGCAACTAAAAGTATGCTTTTTGTTGCGCCGGTCGACAGCTGGTGTCGGTGCGTACACAGACTACACAGGTGTCCTTGCAGTGATCTTTCAGTCGTGCGTGAGCCAGCTGGTTATTGGTTCTCACGCAATCACTACACTGTACTCCGTCAGCCGATGGAGTCGCATGTGCTGCTGCGGTATGGGGTGAGGTGAGAACTGATCGCCAGAATCTTGAATGCCCATGAGTCCGAATCAGGGACTTGTCTTTGGACAAACAACAGGCCTTCATACTGCATTGCCAAAGACTCCGCGCAGTCACACTTTAGGGTTCACAAACGTTCGAACACTTCAGCATCCGGTATCAGGAGTCCGCCCCCCATTGAGTGGCTCAGTTCGCATACTACTCGCCCGTATCTTTGGACTGAAATTGTGCAGCGCGTCGACTACCGCGGAAGCCATAGCCTGAATTGTAATACTTGGACCGAGCATTTCCAGGCGTCCTCTTGCAAATTTGTAGTACTAACAGCTTCCCAACTGCCGTTTGGATTGTTTTTTTGGACGCACCACCTATGGCTCAAGAACCTATCCACAACGCAGCGGTGATACGCGGTTATATCTAATGTTGGTTCACGTTCACCATGTCACAATGCCGTCGTCGGCAGTCGACGTATCGGACGTTAGCCCTCTGTGTCTTAGTCCGCGTCTATTTATTCACCAGACTGGAGAGCCTCTTTACTTTGCGGGTAACTTTCGCTGAAGGCCGTTCCACTATCCGCCCCTTGTGGACGCATTGGGTGCTGAGTTTCTTTAATACGCCTGAACTCCCTTTAAAGGTACATCAACTAGCCTTCTTAATCTAACAATGATTTTAGCGTAAACGCAGAAGTCTTTCATCTGCTACATTTTTCTGCTCCCGCCCGCTGTAATACTGGTTACTTGTGCCCCCTTTTTGGAGCCCCGACTCCACACCTCCGGGTTGACTTTTTACGGACTGCCAGTCTGTGTTTTTGGATTATTAGCGTTAATTTGTTGTATGTTCTTGTTTTATTGTCTACTGTATGTCGTTTTATGTCTAAGCACACTGTCTTCTTCGTATCGATCCACATTTATCGCCTTCAGGAATTATTATTATTACTATTATTACAGCTTTCTTAAGAGAATGTATTTGTAATCACCCCTTCTTGCCGGGGTGCCAAGTAGTATGATGTTTTCAAAACTAATATTCACTATTTTAAATTGGTACCTGTACAGCTTGTGTGTAGCAATTTTATGATGTTGTTCATTCCTGTTAACAATTCGTGCATACCAGAGAAAGTGATTGGGCAAGGCGTGAGGCCTTTCTCGAACTGGAGCGCCGCAGACGTCTTGGTCTTCCGCTTGTAGATCCCAATCTCATCCCACCAGAGCGCGTGAAACTACCATCCAAGGAGGAGTTGGGCCCTGACTTCAAAATAATCATTTGATTGAATCTGTATTCATGTGTTGAATCTTCTTTTAGCTGTATCGTAGCGTTTAACTTGGTTACTATAATACTCTCTCTGAATCTACTTCAGGTTCTTGTTATTTTGCTGACTTTCCTGAGGGCCTCCCGTTAAATCAACTATTCGGAAGTCTGCGCGTTTTTAATGCGTCCCACAGACTCTGTAATCAAAGCCAAGATCTCGTTTAGCTGGACAATTAAGACGAACTTAAATCCTCTAAGTCAGTTGTCTTGCTCACCATCCCCACCCAAAGCCTAATTTTTTCCGAGTTACGCCGCTGGCCACGTGAATCTATCCTCGAGATTAACGGTGCTCGGCTGACGTTGACAGTTTCAAGTGTCGGAACGCGTCTCTTGTCAAGTGAAGTCTGACAGAATTGTGAAGATATCTCATCAATCCAGAAGGGTTATTCCTCGTCGCCCATTCGTCCAGTTCAATGCTCTGCTCTATACCTGACGTCTCTGTCCTTCATTGCAAGCAAAACAGAAGCGGTCACTGTCCGTTAAGGTAGCTCTCCAGCCGGTTTTTTGTCTGCCCACAGATGTGTGTGCTCAAAGATGCAGCTCGCAGGCTCGTGTTCTCTCTCTTCTTTGAGTTTGGGTGTCACCGGTATAGTCGTACGGGAAGTTTGATTCCCTGCGCACTCGTAATACTTTTAGTTTGTAAATGGCCTGGTGCCTTAGACTAGGTTGATAAATGGAAACCTAGTTGGGGGTAAGACCGAGCTTGTTGACTTATAACAAGTGCTGAGGTCTGCCTGGGCCTATCGAAATTCGATAACCTAAATAGACGCATCGGGTAGGCCGTGACTATCCTGATGCGAGCTTTCAAGGATTTCCCTTCAATTCGAGGCTCGGGTTTTACTTTCCAAAGCTAATAATTCAATTGGGTATGTAGGCTGACCCAACCTTTCCGTCAGTGAGCACGCACCTCTTCTCCCTAATGAGTATTGCTACTGATCTTCTTTTATCAGTTTGAAGACGACATAAGTGTCTAGTCACGGTATATGGTCCAAATAAAATAACACTTCTTAAAGAGGTTCTAGGAATCGGAAATACTGCATCCATAGAGGTTATAAGGATTGCCAAGTCTTAGTATTCGAAGTTAACAAGTGTTTTGGTGGATTTGAATGATTCATTTCAACCAGACTATGAAAAACTCGGCGACCTCGGTGAAATTCAGACCCACGACAGCAAGAGGAAGGCTTTAGTGCAGCGAGCGCTCTAGCCACCTGAACTACGAGGCACCACCGCGAGGCGTGGGTTTAATCACATTGGTGAAGTTACCCGCCCAGCTGGTGGACTCTACATAGATTACGTAAAAAACCCCGCTTGGGCCGTCAGCTGGGTGGGTAACTTTACCCAAATGTGATTTACCTCATGGCTGACGGTGGAGCCTCGTAACTCGGGCGGCTGGAGCGTTGGCTACGCCAAAGCCTTCTTGCTGCCGTGGATTCGAATCCCACCGAGGTCGCCGTTTTTCGCAGTGGGGTCAGGATTAATTATCCGAAGCTATGTGTCTACTTTGCGTTTGCGAGTAATCATGTAGTTGGAATGTTTGACTTCGGTTTACCTCTGGAGCAAGCCATGATCTCGTGTTCCCCAAGTCAATACGGTTGACCTTGCCTCTGGAACGGGCCACACGTTAGATACGCTGGACCAACACGGGGGGGGCTAGATCGGGTTCTGGCAGGCGTTATTGGAACGCAGTCACAGGCCCAGTTGCCGGCTCATGTTGCGAACATTGGGATCCCTGCCGTCTCCCGTCTTTGTTGTTGGTTAAGATTCTTGTCAAGTGTTTGCTGTGGACCAGTGGGTGTGATGGTATGCATAGGTATGGGCCCGGCCGCGCCAACCACCTGTGCCCTTTCCCGCCTCCGGTCTTCTTGATACCGAACCCAGGTAGGGGGCAGGAGAGAGTGCGGCAGGTGCTGTGCAAGTCTACCAACACAATAAACTAGTTCAAGCGCCAGTCACCGTGTCTGCTCTCACTCTGCTGTGGAGCACACGGTAGACATTAATGGTCGAACTTTCATGGTTGACCAGCGGTAGAGGCATCGTTATTCATGCGAACCCGTGGCCTGCAAGGTCTGACTCCGCGGCCGCACTAGTTTCCAGGCCAAGCGGTCTCTTCGCCGGTTTGCCTACGTCTTGACCCTTAATGTATTTGAAGGACCGGTGGTCAGGGTGTTCATATTTGTTTCTCTGTTAAGAGGAATGATTAGGTCAAAGTGAGAACGGGCAATTCGAAACTATCCAGTTTACGAGTGACTAGTAATGTCCTGGTAGCCGGTGCTTAATATCTGCATGCCAGAAATGGCTAGAAGGATTTGCACGTTTTAGTGGTCTCGCAACGAAACATGGTACACTATCCTTGGGCCAACGAATTCGTTCAGGCTTAGACTAGACGTCGACTGAATCATCCTTTTGGGCTGGAATTGCCGTGGACATGGGTGGTCCACGCCGGAAATAGCATGCGGAGGTCATTTCCACTGCTATCGGCAGAGGAGTGTACCTTGATGTTGCCTTTGATGTTAACTGGCTTCCAGGTCTTCCCGACCGCTCAGCATTGCGAGGAGGGACCTAACATTTTGAAGTGGTCGCGAGGGTATCAATTCGGCTTCCACGTGGTCGGATATCTTCGTAATGATCATCCTGTGACGATTAACAGAAGCATGGAATGACAGCGAAGACAGTACACCTGATGCAGATGGACGGTCACGGCCGGTCGATAGCTATTTCCTTCCGAGGCTTATGGAACTTTTATTAACTGGATTGTCCAAGAGTCTTTATAGAGATAATCCACAACCGGGCTGTTGAAGTGTATGATACTTCATAAGGGAATGATCTGGAGAAAGTGTGTGGTGGGTGGTACCGAGATGCAGTGATTTGTCACATCGAGATATACGTAAGAACGCCGAAGATTCGAAGGTGTTTAAACCTTTTCCTCGCATGTTCACATTGGCGGTAGAGCATGCCGGGCTTGGTTTCGTCTTTTGCCTCGCTCATTCAAACGGCCGCATAACAAAGACATCCACGAGTCTTTGCAATCCTATATGCCTCTGGTTGTCCAGAAGCCACACTTTTTTCCAGATGGAGGGTTGGGCACCTGGGCTCACTTCTGCCGCCTCTGAAGCATTGTGACGTTGAGGACTGGTTACGGAGCTACAACCTTGCTCCACCGGTTTAGGTTGGGTAGTGTACGTATTTTTTAGATTTCCTCGGCTCAGTGCTGGTTTATTCACCGGAATAGACGCATCCGAGGTCAAAGCTATGTCAGAAGACAGTCGGGATAACTCGGTCATTCTTTGTGGTTCTACAGCAATAAACAGTAAGATTAGCGGAGCACGATAGAGCTAATAAGGCGGGGAATAAATTGAAAAGTGGACGTACATTCGAGATGATTAGACGAGCAATCGACGAATGACGCCAAAGTGTGGTGGTCGGTCTAAAAGCGGGCGGCGACAAAGAGCAATACACAATGAACAAAGAATGGCGAGAACCGACGAATAAGGGCACAGAGACGAAGGCAAGGTGGTATGAGTAAAGTCTGGTTACTAACGAACGGTTAGTAGCAAAAAGACGAATATAAATTGACATCATGGATGTTACAGCCTGACGGTCTTGCCTGGGCATGCTGATATTACGCCTTGTTGCCGATGTTCGGGTCGCAGAAAGTTTTAACAAAGGGGAAAAAGAAAGCTGGGCGGATCGGATTGGTCTCTCGATTCCTTTTCTTCCGCTGGCTCATTACTGCTCATTAATTAGGAAGGAAATATCCGGAAGCAGTCGAAAAATACTATTTCCCTGCGAGAATTATGAAGTACATCCCTGTAGAGCAAAGGCCGTCCATAAGATGCTACCCGAAGCGTTAGCATAAAGAGACATCCACAAAGGGTAGGCCTGAAAGGACATATATTGTTATTTAGAGGAACCGAAAAAATCGGATGGCATTCTTGCGAATAAGTAATTCCGGTCTCATAATAGAGTGAGAAGACTGGAAAATATGAGTAGAACTAACATTCCACCGTCTCATGCATTGTCCTTTTCTTCGAAACCACTGGTAAGTCCAGTGGGCACTGAACTGGTTCGATTGTAAAGGTCAATCAGGAAAACGAGTTTTTTAGCAAAGAAACAAGCTCTTCATGCATTCTGCAGGTAGATTCGGTTTTCTATAAGTTTTTAGGGTGGGGCAGAAGAAATGAACCAGTAACGGCGCATGATAACTCCGTTGCCGAGTCCAGTTATTGTAGGCCATCCGCTGATCGCAATGGCCGTGCTAAGGGAGGCTTGGTAAATTGTTTTCGATGGACTTACGAAATTCTCTGGAAAGGGGGTTTTCTGCCAGGGCAGAGGGACCAAAGCAACCATTTCTTTTTAATTTACCGTATTTACCCAGCCATACCCCAAATCGGTCAAAATTCGGGCTCAGTCAACTATAAAACAGATGCTTCATCATTTGTCAATGGTCCACCTCGCAGAGGGCAATCAGGAATATTTGGTCACATGGCAGTCACGTTCATCAGTCCGTGCTGATTACGAGATGAAATGCGGATGTTCCGTTTCGCCTACGTGACTCGGGGGCGAGAACGCCCCCAGACTCTGGACTAACAATATCCGAGAAGTAGCATCACCGACAAAGACAAGAGACACTGGAGTGGCCACTTCTGGTTTGTTAGCCGTCATCAGCCAGCCATATCCAACCCCGGGGATCGGACTTGCGACCAGTTTGTTAGAAGTCCAATGCCCTAACCACTGAGCCACGGGTTTGTTGTCCTGTCGATCGCGATCTGGTATATTAAGCCTCTCTCTCGAGCCCCACCAACAGCTGCAAAGCGGCGCGGAATATAAGCAGAATAGTATTACTAACAAAGAAGAGTGAGACTGGAATACCCATTTCCGGCGTGTTAGCCGCTATCATCAGTCGAGAAGTGATGCCGGTTGAGACGCTGCAGCGACGGATTCCGAACTGTTTGTGGTCGT